TGTGTGTGTGTGTGTGTGTGTGTGTGTGTGTGTGTGTGTGTGTGAGAGAGAGAGAGAGAGAGAGAGAGAGAGAGAGAGAGAGAGAGAGAGAATATCTTACTAGGCAACCTTAGCTAACTACTAGCCTGGCCTTGAACCACCCATGTAGCCTAGGCTGGTCTCAAACTCTCAATCCTCCTGCCTCGGTCTCTTGAGTACTGAGATTACATGCATGTGCCACCACACTTACCTTTGAAGTTGTCTATAAGAATCCTGTAAGTTTGGGGGTGTCTGGCTTCTCTGAGCATAGATTCATCAGCAATGCTGGGCATAACTCCATTTTTATTGCTGAGCAGTACTCTGCAGGGCAAATACACCATGTGGTTTCTTTATCTGCTCACCTACTGATGAATACTGGATTGTTTCTAGCTTAAGGCTGTTGTGAGTAAAGCACTACAAAGGTTCAGGGCCAGACCTCGGTGTGCACAAGTGCCCTCCCTTAGTTAAGTACCTAGGAGTGAAGACTATTGCGTGATATGGAGGTTCAACACTTTCAGACAGTTTTGAAAGCTGGGCATGGTGAGGCAAACCCATAATCCCAGCACTAGGAAGCTGGGGCAAAAGGATCACAAATTCAAGGACAGCCTGAGCTACAGAGGGAGACCTTGTCTCCATGGCAAACAACAAAAGAAAAGAGAATATAATAAAGTAATTTAAAAGAAAAATTAGGGGCTGGGATTTAGGTCTATGGCCTGGCATGTGTGAGTACTCAGACCCACCCCAGCAAAAGAAAAAAACAAACAAACAAACAAACAAAAGCAGTTCTGAGGGGCTGGAGAGATGGCTTAGCAGTTAAGAGCACTGACTGCTCTTCTAGAGGATCCAGGTTCAATTCCCAGCAACCATGTAGCAGCTACATGTTTATAACTCCAAGATCCGACACCCTCACACAGACATCCATGCAGGCAGAACACCAATGCACATAAAATAAAAATAAATTATTTTAAAAATTAGTTCTGTGGCTGGCAAGGTGGCTTAGCAGGTAAAGGTGCTTTCTACTGAGCCGGAGGACCTGAGTTCCTTCCCGAGAACCCACATGGTAGGTCGTTGTCCTCTGACCTCCACACATGAGCTGTGGTGTTAGTTAACAACATAAAAACACCACAGGAAACTAGATAGAAGGTTCAGCAGTTAAGAGCTCCACGCCCTGCTCTTAGAAGGGATTAGGGTGCAGTTCCAGTACCCACAAGGCAGCTCACAAACCTGACTCCAGTTCTAAGAGGAATATGATGCCCTCTTCTGACCACTGTGGGCACCAGGCCTGCACACACACAGTGCATTCATACATATGTATGCACGTACATTTATCCATCCAGGCAGGCAATCGTACAGATAATCATACATGTAAGTGTTTCATGCCTGTAATCACAGCACTTGGAGGTGGAGGCAGGAAGACCAGGAGTTCAAGATCATTTGTAGCAACCCAGGGGCCAGCCTGGGTTCCATGAGACCTTCTACTATCCCAGAGGCAGGTTCGGTTTTATCACAGTGCAGTGACTTTCCTATCAGAATCCCCTGGGAGGTTTGTTAGGACTCAGACCACTGGGCCCCAGTTTCTGTGGTTCTGAGCAGGCCTGGAGAACTTGAATTTCCCAGGTGCTGCTGCTGTGGGTCGGGCAGTCTGAGAACCACTGAAGCAGTGGGGGCCACGTGGTACTACACCCAGGACACCCCGTTAAGGCTGAGGTGCTCAGAGTGCTGCCCCTCCTTGGAGCTCCACACCAAGAGCTGGCCCATGCCACCGGGGTCTGCAGAGGACTACAGGTACAAGTGCATCCTGCAGAGGCAGGGGAAGTGATGGAGTAAGGAGAGGTATGTGTTGGGTGTAAAAGGTATGTAAGCCAGCAGCGTGTGAGGTCTTCCCCCAGCAGAATTCTAAAGAACCAAAGTCAATGTGGCAAAAAATGCCAAACTCAAAGCACTGAGGACTCTCTACCCAAATTTCCACATAGCTGTCTCATTGCCTAGTTAGGAGGGACTCAGCCTGTGTTCTCCCCAATAATCCTGCCATCCAGGAGGCTACTGGCCCTCCTGAGCTGGGTGCCCAGGCTAGAGGCCTTTTCTATAGGATGGTCTTCCGGGGTCCCGGGCTGTGCAGAGGCAGGCTGGAGGCCCGACCTCACCTGTTACTGCTCACACGCTCAGCGTGGACCGGGAGGACAGATTGTGCGTCCTCCAGGCAGAATCCAAGCAAGGCAGACACGATGCTCTGTTCCTGCTGCCGCCGCCGCTGCCAGTGCCAGCAAACCTGCTCCAAAACGCCAAAGCTGGCTACAAGGTTTAGAAAAACACCTTCTGCCAGCGAGTGCTCAGAAGGCAGGTACGCGTCTCTGACAAGTCCCCTTGCCCCTCACAGGCTGGAAAACATAAGTTTGTGTCGGGCGGGGTGATTGCGACTTGGAGAAGGCAAAGCCAGGAAAGCTCAAAAAAAATAAAAAAATAAAAAAAAGCAGCCTTGAGCTCTGCACCACACACTGCCGCTCTGTGGGACTGTGTGGGATGCTATGTCCTCGTCACCCATGTCACAGTGTCCTGACGGCAGCAGCCAGGGAGGACCCCTTTAAACACTGACAGACAAGCCTGAGCCCAGACGGGCTAAGCTCCTCCTGCTTGTCACCTAGTGTCCAGAACAGAGGACTGCCACAGCCTGCACACCCCCCAGGGCACAGAACCCTCCTCACAGCATAGGGACACAAGGAGCTGTCCCTGGGTGGGCATAAGCAGCCTCGTTTGACCCAGTTCTAAGAATGGCAGAACCTAACCATAAAGAATATAAAAGCCCACAGGTATTACATCTTAGGCACATAAAGTCAACTTAGCGGACGTGTGCTGGGGGAGACAGACGGGAAGTCTGGCCCGTGTGTGCGGGATCGAAGACCGCCCCAGGGCCGAGTGAGCAGGACCCTCCACTGTGGCACGCTGGCCTATGCGAGCCTCCACGATGCTGACTGTGGTGTCCACCTCAGCCTTCCCAAGCTGTGGTGCAGCTGCATTTTCTTCTTAGAGGGTAAAATGGTTCCTGACCAAAGTAACGGTAACAGCACACCACAGGCGCGAAAGCAGAGCTGTCCCAAAACAAACACAGAAGGTGTGTCTTTGACTCAGGCTTTCAATTCCAGCACTTGGAGGCAGAGCAGACAGGTCTCTGAGTTCGAGGCCAGCCTGGTCTATGTAGCAAGTTCAGATCAGCCATAACACACTATCTCAAAACAAAACAGAAAAATCAGGTGTAAGGATGTCTGGGATGCCAGGCACAGTGCATGCCGATAATGCAACACTCAGGAGGAGCCACAGAAGGACAGCAAAAAGTTCAGAAACAGCCAGGGCAACCTACTGACACCCTGGCCTCAGAATAACAAGCATCAAGCGCTAGGAACCAACCAAGTTCAGTGTCAGTGTCTCGCAGGGGCCTGTCTGTAATCTTAGTAACACACCAGCTAGTAACAGCTGCCCTTGCTCCTGGCACACAGAGCTCTGGGCATGTAGAGTTATCCTGTGGTTACACACTGGTAATCCACACCCGGATCAGTGCCAATGTGGCTGAGAGCGGCTGGGAGTCCCGGCCCGTTCACAGCATCCACACCAGTGTCCCCAACGCTGCCTTTCCTTCTTAAGGCTGACAGCCACTAGACTCAGCAGTTAAAGGAGTAAAGATCCTAGCCACTGTTTGTTTTCCCTCATGTTGAAAATGCAGGAAGTGACCACCCTGGTGCAGGAGAGCTACAGAGACCTGCCAAATGGTTTCAAATACTCCTAGCTGGGACCATGGGGTGAGTCGGGGTGTGTGTGTGTGTGTGTGTACACATACATATGTGTGTACACATATATGTGTGTATACTATACATGTTATATACATTATATACATTTTATATGTGTGTACATATACATATATATTCCATACTATACTATATATGAAGTTCTATCACTTAGGCTAACAGTGCTCCCCACAAAAACCATATTCTACAAAACCGGTACCAATCACAAGAACTCTTTTAAGTTATTGGTCAGGGTCCAAATGACTCTGAAACCAATACAGACTCCTGCTGTTGCCTTTGGATGCCTCTCAGAGGTTGAAGTTAAGCCCCTGTTGCCGTAGATAACACACGTTTCGAACACAGCACTCAGACTACGGGGCTGGATCTGCCCCGGAAGCCTCCTTTCTGCAGCCTGGCTTCCATAATGCCAGAAAGTCCTATGCAAGCTGCCCAGGGAGGGAAGCAGTGAACAGTCCTACCCAGCTGTGACACCAGTGAACCACACAATGACCAGCATGACAAGACAGCCACAACGGTGCAGTAAGTGGAGCTCACTCACACGCTGGTGGCGACCAACAGCTGTCTAGTTGGACTTAAGGTCCACTAGACAGGAGGAAGTCATGCCTGGCACTGGAGACCTAGCCAGCTTCCCAGGGTGGGTGAAGTCATGGACCTTAGGAAAGAATCTACTACCACCACTTTGCAAGACCAGTTTAATTCCTTACTACATCCTAAATCTCATCCTTATACCCCCAGATGAATGTAACTACCACCTTCCTTCCATCAAGGACGCTTCTCTACAGCAAACGGAGACCATGACAGAAAACCACACCTGGACACGATGCAGAGATCAGTGGATTGTCGGGAGCCCGGCCCCAGTGGATGCATCTGTATCACAGCTCCTGCATCTATGGCTCTGGGAACATTGAAGAAGAGGGGGCAGGAAAATTCTAAGAGCCAGAGGCCCAGGAGGTCTGCTGTGTGACTGCCTCTCTTAGAAATGGCTGTAGAGCCGGGCAGTGTTGGTGCACACTTTTAGTCCCAGCACTCAGGAAGATCTCTGTGAGTTCAAGGCCAGCCTGGTCTACAGAGGGAGAACTCAGGACAGGCTCCAAAACCACACAGAGAAACCCTGTCTTGAAAAACCATTTAAAAAAATGGCTGCATAAACAAGACATGAACCATGACTAAATAGGCATGCTAATGAGGAGGGGGCAACTTTTACAGGGTCGCACCCTTAGACCAAGACCTATAGGCAACTAATGACTGACTGCTGAGAGAGGGGGATGAGCACCATAACTGGTAATCCAGTACAAAGTGGTCAGCCCTGAAACTATACACACACAAAAGAAAAACAGTCTCAGCAGGTTGTATTTATATAGTCGTTCATATATATATATTAAAAGAAAAAGAGGCTATCAATTTGAGAGTAGGGATGGGACATAGGAGAGGTTGGAGGAAGGAAAGAGAAGGGAGAAGTGATGTAATTATATTTTAATTTAAAATTTAAATAAAGAAAGTAATAAAATTACTAGCTTTAGGAATGTCAGAGGGTCAGTACATACAGGGTGGGAAGAGGATATATATGGACATATATAATATGTGTGTGTGTATGTTATATGTATGTATGTTATAGAAATTAAAAGGATACACACACACACACACACACACACACACACACACACATGAGATTTGTCTGTGTAGGTGTATGCAAGTGACCACAGAGGCCAGAAGACAGCATT